CCCATGGCAGGGGGGTTGGAACTAGATGATCTTTAAGGTCCCTTCCAACCCAAACCATTCTATGATTCTATGATTCTATGACTCCTGCCTGTATTCCCTGTGGTCCGGGGAATCCTGAATGATGTTTGGCACAAAGATGCTGTTGAGAACCTGGAAAGGTGGCCAGTGCTTCCCAGTATGTCACGGGGTTGTCGGGGCGCTTCTCTCACAGAACAGCCTGGAGGTGAGCAGAGCACCCCGGTCATCAGAGGGTGAAAGCCCCGGCCGGCTCTTAAGGGTTGTCGTATTAGGCCCTTGTGTGGAAGGTGGCAAAGCTTCCTCCTGCTCCTGCTCCTCCTCCTCCCCCCCAGCCTTCCTTATAGCGAGGGAGCGCTCTTCTCTGCCGGCACCTCTGTGCGCCTGGCTCGCTGCTGTGGAGGGTGATGCCAGGTACCTGTCGTGAGAGCTCCAGGGGTTTGGGTCAGGAGAAAGCAGACGACACTCCACATCCAGGCTCTGGAAGGGAAGAGCATTCAGGAATGCTATTGCTCAAGTGTTTTCCTCTTGTCTGTCCTCATTACCACTCTCTTCAGTAGTTTGCCGACGGCTGCGTAAAGACTGCGGGTTTAACACGTGCCGTGGGCTTCGCCCCGATTCTGCACCCTGCATTCCCCTCGGCTGCCAGGCCTGTGCCTGCCACGGACAGGAGCTGCTTGGCGTGGCCTTTGGGGTGATTAGCGGGGAAAAAGGCAAAGCATCCCGTGCAGGAAGGGTGGGCACGCGCGTGTTAACCTTGTGCCGACGGGGCACCTGTGTCAGTGGCTGGGATTTGAGGGGGGGGTCCCTGAAAGGGAAGGTCTGATGCGGTGGCTGTTAAATGGTGACTGTTTGATGCAGGTTTTGTGCGTCGTGTTTCGCTGTTACTCGCTCAGCCCGGCGCGTCCGCGCTGTGAGAACTGCGGAGCATCAGCCTCTCAGGCCTTTTCCATACCGTCCCCGGCGTCGGATCTTGAGTAGGTGCTTCTCGTGGCGTTGTGCAGCCCACTTACCCGTCTTTTCAATCTTTCCCAGTTTTACTGGCTAACGAGAAGCTCTCTGTTCCCATCACATGCAAAATCCGCGTTTTCCCAGAAGTGGACAAGACAGTGAAGTATGCCCAGATGCTGGAGAAGGCTGGCTGCCAGGTAAGGAGGGGGGCGCTCCCTGTGCACGGGTGCTCCTTGGGCACGTGTCCGCGGGTGAAGCGTGTGATGAGCAGCTCGCCGTGCGGGAACAGGCTGGGGGAACAGGCTGGCGTGCAGCGATGAGAGGCAGAGACTCGGGATTTGCAGGCAGAAAGGGCTGTTGAGGTAGCGGTGGGAATCCAGAGGCATCCAGGAAGGGCTTGGGGTGACAGGGAGTTTCTGCCCGCGGGTTCGTCCCAGCGGTCTGTACCCACGGAAGGCAAACGGAACTTTGTGTTGTAGCTGCTGACGGTGCACGGCCGCACGAAGGAGCAGAAGGGCCCTCTTGCTGGCGTGGCATCCTGGGAGCACATCCACGCCGTCAGGTTAGTGAGCCGTGTCGGTCCCGTGCGTTCCCGACAGCGTGCTGCGAAGGGGGGCTGCGGAGTGTGCAGTGGCACTGGAGAGCAGACCTGTGCGACGGGCCTGCAGCCCTGTGCGACGGGCCTGCAGCTTCTGGGTTGGCGCTGATTCTCAGTCTGACGTGTCTGTTTTATTCACTGCTGCAGGAAAGCTGTAAGCATTCCCGTGTTTGCCAACGGAAACATCCAGTGTCTCCGTGACGTGGAAGAATGCATCCGTAAGACGGGCGTGCATGGTGTCATGAGTGCAGGTGAGGAGAGGGAACATTCACTCGTGGTAGGTGAGAATACAAACCGTTTCTGACGCTCTCGGCGGCCCCACGTACGTGTGTCGCAAGCTGATGTCAGACTGACGGGCGAAGAGCTGTGGTTGAAAGCCGAGCGGCTGTCCTGTCTCTGGCCGTGTCTTACCAGGAATCACTTCAGATTTGTAGGAATTGTTACGTGGGACTTGCAGTACCACTGAGGGGACAGCTCAGTCTAGTTCCTTGACAGAGCACACGGGATTCCTCTTGTCCTGGAACATTCTCATGACATCTGTTAATCGAGCGACTGGGTTTCCAACGGATCTTGGTGCAGTAAGTCTGCCAGCTGATTAATATCCCTGCAGCTGGTTCATGTTGGGACAAGAAGGAATTGGCAGAGCGAGGATAGAGGTCAGAGCAGGTTTCCAGTTGCTCGCACTGTTAAAGCCACGAAACACGTTTTGTGGGAGGTGGTAGAATGTTACTTTTGGACAACACCAGTTAACCAAGGGCCTGTGAGGCCCGGAGGGAAAAGCGCAGAGAGAAGCAGTATCTGAGCTTCGGCCAGAACCACGCGAGTGCAGACGTACGGCCGGACGCCTGTTGTCCAGGTGCTGAGCGCTGTCTGTACTGTCTCCCTGCCGACACTGGACGCCTCTCTGCAAACTGTACTTTAATGAGTTATGAGCTCTTTGGCTCAATTAAGAACTGTACAGTGGAGTATCCAGAGGTCAGGCTGGAGGGCCGTGCGCCCCGTGTTCCTCTCCCTACTCGCTCACGCGGCTGTGTGTCTGTGACTGGCTGTAGAATCACAACGGAGCTCATCAAGCTCTAGATGTTGTTTGCTGTTGCCGTCCTGAAATGAAAGTTTGAGTATGTCTTTTCATTCCCTAGAAGGTAATCTGCATAACCCAGCTTTGTTTGAGGGCCGAAACCCCTTGGTGTGGGAGATGGCTGAGGAGTATCTGGAGATAGTGCAGAAGTACCCTTGTCCATTGTCTTATGTTAGGGCTCATCTCTTCAAGCTCTGGCATCACACGTGAGTATCTCCAGAGAACTCTTACTGTTTTCAGGGCTCATCCTGCTTAGCAGGTGTCTGACTTCTCTGGACAAGGATTTGTCTGGCCAGAGTTAGTATGCCGCAAGGTTTTCTTTCCGGGACCTGGCTGGAGAGCACGTGGGCTGAGGCCTTGAGCCCTCGCTGCGTGCCTGGGGAGCGAGCAGGTTGGCACGCGACGCGCCGGGGCGCGAGCTCGCAG